TTTATTAAAAACTAGATCATTGGATAATGCAATTCAAGACTTTTTATTGGCTTAGCCATTATGGTATATCAGCCAATATACCATAATCTACAAATATGGCAAGCGTACGTGTCAGCTTAAAATTAAAAGGGAGCTAAAAATTTAATAAAATTTAATAACTTAATTTAACGTTTTTAATAAAACAATTATTCCACTCGCTCTTGTTGGATATGAGATGATTATAGCCTCGTTGGCTATCTATCATCTCATATCCAAAGCGCGCTCGTGGAATAATTGTTAATTGTGACTTGCTCATACCTTGTTCGGCGTGCTCTATAATCTGTTTAAGAGCTTTTTTTAAGCTATTCGCTCTCGACCACAGAGCTTCCTTAGGTACGAATACTCTCTGTTTTCCGTTTCCATTCCCAGCCATCCCTGCACCCTCTGATGACAGCTCCTCCTTTGAGGGGGTGGGTAAGGCTTCTGACTCGATACTCAGCGTGTTGAGGAGCAGGTTCAACTTTTCATTGAGAACCGTGCACTTAAAAGCAAGCAAACAAACGAATATGAAATAGCTCCACCCATGAATAAGTGCCAGTGGCCCTCCTAAAATCAAGACAGCCAGCCAGCCCTCAGAAGAATCTTTTCAGCACCCAATCCTTTCGCTCTTGAAAGTTACCTTGAAAATTTCGCTTTCAAATGTAAATGGATTCTTATTAAGAAAGAAGATGAGAGGGAATAAATCTATCAACTAAAGGATTTGTCCGGTTTTACACAAATTCTCAAAGGTAAAATGATCAGAAATGTACGACAGACGGTACAGAGATATTTCGTTCGTGCTCCTTTTCACAGACCACAGAGATAAGATCTAGAAGGTCTACGATTCAATTCCTAGTTAGGGACTTTGATTTTTTTCTTCACCCCACGACGCTCAACACAAAACAAATAACATCTAAACTCGACGAGCAGGCTCAAATATTATCACCTTCCTTACTCTAACGACCAAATAGAAAAAGCTTTTCTGTTTTCATTTAAAACAAAAATTCGTTAATCAGAAGTAAAGAACGTGATGCAAACCAAGACTAACAACCTTTAGTGCCAAGGAATCGGGCTCGTCCGCTTCAGAGGGATCAGAATTTGCTGATGCTGTTCCAATTTTCGACACAAAATCCTTCACCGTCTCACACAGCACTCTAGGGAAGAAACAATGATGGTGATCAACCAAGAGTGATATGTAGATTTTACTGAGCATTCTTCAGTCTTCTTCGAGTAAATTACCATTTTTGTTCCATCCTGGAACAAAAATGGTTACCGGAAAATTGTCTCGGTAACCTGTCGTGAGGCAACTGCAATACATAAGATTATTACACGACTCGGGCAGTCAGAGGGCCAATAACTAAAATCAACCAATCAAAATGCTCTATTGCCGGTCAATATTCTCTCAGTATTGGACCGAGCACTGTCCCGAATGATCTCGAATGATACCGCACTTGCGTCCCTTTGAACTTCAGTCGTATAATAAATCTCTTATTAACCAAGCTTGCTCGGGACCGTACTGGAAGAATGTCAGCCCTCGGTCTTTTTTGTACGGACCTCGCTGCGCTCGGTCCGTACTGTCAAGACCTCGGGCCGATATTCTCCCAGTATGGCCCTCGCGCTTGGTTAATGAGATATATATCCTATCGGGTCGCTTCTTCCGATAGAAACCGGCATAAATTCCCAAAAGTTTTCTAGACAGCCTAGAATTAAAAATAAACTACTTATCAGATCTTGGGGTGGACCTCGGTGAAGTCAAAGCAAAGAAGTTTGCATCTGCTCACACACGGCATTTTTTGCTTTAGTTGATACTTGCTGACTTTCTAAGTATATTTCATTACGATCGATTTGTTCAAAAGGCTTGGGGGGAAAAATTAAGATTGTGAAACATTGAAACATTTTCTACCGTGCAGAGGAGATGACCACTGAGTGATCGCTGGAATGCAGTATTCTTGTTAAGTGCGTTGCCACGTTGTTCTCGAACGTATCAATAATGTCGACATCATGCTTGTACTAAAAAACAGAAGAAAAGAAATATACATTCAACCCTAAACTCTGGGAGGTGATAATTCACAAGCAACTTCTCTTAACAAAGTAAATACCAGTGATAAGAATACACAAACGTATCAGCTACAGGCTATAATCTTCATACGACACATAATTCTCTTGGTAAGAGACAAGCAGATGTACATAGCTGAAAGGAGAATTATAATATCTGTAAAAATTTCTCAACTTCCTTAAATTACGAGTAGTCCCTCCTTTTCGGCGAAATCCACCGCGCCAGTCAAAAAAAGTCAATGAAATAAAATTGACGTTAGCGCGCCGCGGGAAGCTGTAATTTTAACTTATTCGCTGCGGGAACTCTATGAGTCGGGCGCCTACTTTTCCAGCGCCTGACTCGTGGAGCTTCCGCGGCGCATAAGTCAAAATTAGAGCTTCCCTACTGCGCGCTGACGTCAATTTTTTTTCATCGATTTTTTTTTAACTCGCGCGGCGGATTTCGCCGAAGTTATGATTAAAAAAAAATTTCATCGCACACGACTTTACACACGACTTTACACACGACTTTACCCTCGCACATAGCTTTATAAACTAAAGTTAAGACTTACAGGTATATCTAATGTTTCTATTGATGAACTTCTAGACGCGGATAAGGGTTTTTCTTCAACCATTATACTCCATCTATCATGATAAAAATATAAACATAAATTTCATTTTTTGATGCGCGTAATTGTATTCACAAAGGTTAGAAAGGGAAAGCTTCAAAAAAAATTTGAAAATCAGGGGTGAATCAAAAAGAAATCTGTGATTGTAGAGGTCGTGCTTTGTTCCAGAAAAAATGCGCCAATGTCTCTGCCAAACCAATGCAAAAGTAAAACCAATTGCGACTTGGTCACCGGCATTTAACCAGTTAACGAATTTTTATTTTCAGTTCTCTCTGAATTCCTAAGATATACATCATTCCTTTATCCGATTTGGTTTGGTTTTAGTTTTATGACAATCGAGCAAAAACTCTCCCGTAAGCCAAAGAGGAAGGTCCCTTTGATAAAACTTGGGGCAATCCTGCTTAATAAATTAAATGAGCCTAGTCAAGCTGATTTATTTTGTCTAACCTATCAAGCACAGCTGCTTTGGCCCTTTCCAAATGGCGTAGAAACTGTGTTACTGCAGTGTCGTCGTCAAACGAGGTTCCCCAGCCGAGAACCCTGGACAAATCATTTCCAGTTCCAAGCGGTAAAACACCAAGTTGACACTGTGAACAAGACAGTGCATCAATGAAAGGGTATCCATGTCTTCTTGGTGAAAAAAATTAAAATGCAAACTACCTCTCACGACAACTGCAAGTAGTTTGTGTTAGTGGTTGGCCGGTTTTGGATTTGACATTAAACCTTCACAAGAGATTAACACGCAACGTCTCCTAGCAATGAATAAAGGGGTAAGTTTCTAAAGAAACTGTCGTGCTGCGTCGGTGGGGGTAACAAGGTAATTTGGTAATATCAACTAAGTTGAAATTGTAAATTGGCCACCGCAAAGAGTTAAAAAGCTGACGTCTCGAGCGTTAGCCCTTCGTCAGAGCGAAGGGCTAACGCTCGAAACGTCAGCTTTTTAACTCTTTGCGGTGGCCAATTTACAATTTCAACTTAGTTGATATTACCCAGTCTCCTTGCAATGACGACTGACGCATCATTGCCAAAATTGATGGAAAGAATTAAGAAAACTGACACTCTGAATTGGTGGAAATTAAACCGACTCTAAAGGTAATTTCGAAATAAAGAAACGAGAAAGTGTAGGGCGCTCGATATGCCGCACTTCTACTTAGATCTCAGTAGTCAAAAATGTTCACTGGCCATTCAATAACAAAAGTTGACCATTAATGACCTGCAAGGGCTACAGAGAATTCCTGATCTACGGTAGTTTCCAAAATTGCAGATACCTTCTGCCATTTTCAAATTCGTTTGTTTCCATAAATAAGCAGCAAAAGTGAATTCAGGGAAATCCTTCAGTGCCTTATTTAGGAAAGAGGCTGAACTTCCATGGACAATACGCTTAGAAACTCCCACCAAGGCTCACCACAACTTCTGTAGCTCAGTGGTAGAGCATGGAAGCGAGGATTGCGAAGGTCCGAGATGCGATTCCTTTTCGGAACTAGAAAAGTTTTATCTGCCCCACTCTCTTAGCAAGACGGACCAAAAAAAACATCTTTCTATCTTTCCCACCTGAGTAGAGAGATTCATTCGGTCGACTTCATTCATCACCCAACCTACAGAGCCATCACCTCCGCACACCAGAATCCGAAAATGATCAAAATTTTGGAATAACTTCAATCTGACGATAAAAAAAAAAGCATGGCAGTTTCAATTTTTGTTATATAACTGAGACCTGATCCATCACAGAATTTAAATTGGAAATTCAAATAACAATCATGTTCAATATTAGGGCCTATACAATGTATATGTGTTGTTAACCAAGCGTGAGGTCAAGATAGCTGGATATTGGCCGAGTTCTTTTTGCATTTATATGGACTGAAGCAAAGTCGAGGTACATAAAAATGCAAGAAAAAGAACGAGGCTAATATGCAGCCATCTTCACCGAGCAAGCGTGGTTAATAAAGTATTTAGTACATCGCTAAAAGATTTCGCTTTATCAAGAATTTTAATTCTTAAGAATGACTTGTTTCCTTCAAGTGTCACCAGGTCGCACATGTTTCGTGACAATAACAAAAGTTATTACATAATTGTCTTACAATTTACAATTTTTGTAACACCATCCTCACAGTTTTTGTAATCAAAGTCTTTTCAACACACCATGAGAATTAAGTGTCCCGCACATGTTTAAGAACACTACACAGTGTCTAGTCACAGCTTGAACTCATAGTTTTCGATCTGGAGCCCTGTACCCTAACTAACCACATTGCTGTGTCCCACGCATACTTGACTTGTCCAACACACATCCGAAATTTTGCTTCATTGAGTGTTTTACTTACCCTTTGGAGGGGCCTCCGAGAGCAAGATCAAATACTTGAAGTGGATTTAACAACTGTTTAAATCTTCTAATAAATTTTACACCCTGAA